CTATAGCGCCCTGTGCTGCCTCGGGACGGGTCTGGAGTAAGTGCCGGTTGGGCCGTGACGCGGTGCTCGCGCTGCATGGCTGGTGCTTCCGTCGTACGGTCGGCCCCGCGTCAGATGAAATGCCACCCGCTTCTCTTTCGTTTCTAGCGTTTTAGCGTCGGGCACAGCTAGAATTGTTCTGCCGCTCCGTATGCTTGAAGCGACCTCAGTGTGCCGTGTGAAAATACGATGCTATGCCACCGTGCCTTTGATACCGACTCTACCTGTCGGTGTAAGAGACTTCCAACGTGCAGAAAAGACGCCAATTTCAACGTAGACGATGATGATGATGATGATGATGATTTGGGCTTTGGGGCGCACCGACTACGTTGGTCATATGGCGCCCATCAACGTAGACCAGTTATGCTTAAGGAGTAACGATGCGCACACATGGCTATAGCTGCTTATAAGAGCATGCTTAGCTTGATCTTTATATTGCATAGTGATCGATTCAACGTTTTTTTTTGCGGGACTCCAGACCGCACGTGTCTAAATGAAACGGTACTGTACTAAAAGTATATAGAAATTGAAAATCGACAATATATGTGCTGTCAATGTTATATGATGCTAGATAAACGCATGCGGCTAAGGCCAGACGTTATATGCTACATGTTTGTACCGTATTGTTTTAGTGTACTTGAACCGGTAGTGGCTGTGTTTTTAGTATTTCATAATCAGTTGATATAGGTTTCCGGGGTGGGGTGGTACCTTACTGTGCTGTCATTTCAAGACCTGTTCGCACTTCTGGAACTCGGGGTACGGGTGAGGTCTTAAGTCACAACTATCCGATAGCAGGACAATGCATGTTTCCTATGCTTTGCAACAAACAGGTGTATGCTGTTTTCACTCCAATTTCTAAGGAAGGCTTGCTTATTTGAGTGTGTGATGAAAAAGCCTGGTCTTCTCTCAAGTTGTATGTGTATTTAACCCCAATTACTTAAGGTGCATAACGTGAAGTATTTAGTGGGGCAGGTCACCACTGGAAGCTTTTAGCCGCCACGCTGTCATATATGGTGGAATGGTTTAGTCTGTGGATGCATTCCCCGTGAGCCAGCTCCCACGGTGTGGGACAATGTGTCACTCTCGCGGTCGCCTTCACTGCGTCGTGCGGCGTCAGTGCTGCCTCCCCCCCCCCCCCCTCCCCCCCTCCCCGGTCACTACGTGGGACGTCACGACAACCCCCCGCGCCTCCCCGCCCGTCACACCTTGGTGGATCACTCCCGATCCGCGCCGCCCTGCTGAGCCGCCCCCCCCCCCCCCCCCCCCCCCGCCGCCAGATCCTGCTGCTGAAGCACTCCAACCGGTCGCTGAACAACCAGGTGCAGATCCATCAGATCCTGTCGCCGCGTGTCAGCGTCGGATCTGCGTCCGAGGAGGAGGATCTGCGCCTCAAGCTGGACGACGAGCGGCCCGGCTCGGCCCAGCTGGCCGCCGCCAGCTAGCATGAGGCCCAAGGCGGCGGCGCGCACCAGTCACCCTGGCGGCGGATGGGCATACTGTCTTGGTAGATGGTGCTCCCATCTGCCGGTGCGCGTCGCCGCCTTCGGTTAGCCGACGGCCGAGAGGTGGCGGGCTTGGGATCGGACGACCGACCGGCGATATGTCCTGGCCCGGCGCAGGAACTCAACGAACGGAAAGCGGCAGACGCGTGGAGTGGGCGGGAAGAATCTCATTTTGCACGCTGTTTGGACCGAACTGAAGGCTGCTCGCCGCGCGCTGCTGGCGTATGTGTTCGGTGTTCACCGCTAGGAGCAGTGCCGGCGCCACCGGCGCCCGCGCACCTCAATGTTCCCTCCCGACAGCTGCCGATGCCCCGGGGCGCGCGAGCCGCCCGGCGTCTGAGCGTGGGAAGATGTTAATGATAGATGATCTGTGATACGCCGTACGTTACTGGTTGTCGTTGCAAGGCACTGGGGTACGGGGACGGCGTGTGCTTTAACGTGATACAGTGTGCGTGGTGTTCATGAGTTGGTCTGGACTTCGGCCGGTTGCCGTGGCAACCGTGGATTGTGATCAGAAATTTGCATTCCGAATGTTTTCCCTCGGTGTGAGCAATGAATAACCGTTTGCAATGGCGGTGCTGGATGTAATTTATTGCTGCCTCCGTGGCGCTTTTCGCCAGAGTCCTATTTATTTCCTGCCGATGTTTTCGAGCCCGAAACCAGCGTTTACATTTTCGTAATGTTCTTGTAACTATAGCTGCTAGAAGCCTAATCGTGAGTTGTTGATAGTGACGGTACATCAGTACCGTCTGCACCGTGTCGCCGAACACCGTTAACACCGACCGTGGCCGAGCGATGCCGCCTCGAAGTGCCGGCACTCGCAACGACGGGGGACACTCGCCGGGCACTCGGCGGAGTGGGGGCACTCAGCACTCGGGAGCACGCGCCGTCGTCAGCTGAACTGACGAGAACACGCTCCGCCAGTGCTGGTGACGGGCTGGTTCCCGCAGAGAGCACTCGTTATAGTTGGTGCTGAAATCAGTCAATAAATGGTTTACACTCATTGCAGTTTGAGCGCCGTGCACGGGGTGGGAGGTTGCCAAGGCGATTTGTGATGGATGGGATGAAGGCCCTCAGCATCTGCCTGCGATTTAGTCCTTGCTAGACGCGTGACCCACAGCCACCAAATTACTGCTGTTGTTGCCAGTGTTGCCCATCCTTCGACTACACAGCGCGAAACGATGTGGGTCTCTAAAACGGCATCTCATCGTTGAATCTATGACGGTTGTGGGGGTTCGGACACGGCGCGAAGGTGGCTGCGCACGCTGCTAACGAGTCACGCCTGTGCGTTGCTTCATCACACAAACGCAGTCGTGTGTCCGCTCGTTGTCAGGCTGTTCAACACTCCGAGGACGCCAGCCAATCGCTGCGCCGCGCCAGAATCACTACAAAGCCGCCGCGCGCCGCAGGGGACCAATCACGGCACGCGGTGCCCGCCCTTCCTGCCAGGGTGAGAGGCAGGCGACGCCATATAGCCTCAGCAGCTGAGTGCGTCGTAAATCCCCAACGACACACGCACACACACACGATCACGGCACTGGGAGCCGCACGAACGGTACCATACCAAAAGGAACAAAATCAATTGGACAACCAGGATGGCCAATTCCATCACCAAAGCACACACACTGATCACCAACGGAAGAAGCGAGCCGAAACGACCAGATTATTATCACAAGGCTGAGTCGTCGCCTTTGGTGCCAGTTAAAATCTGGCATGGTAAAACGACCAGACCTCACGGCTAAAATCACCGACAATGGATGGACGGGCATTGAAAAGGGCAAGGCATCAATCACCAAAAGTAATTAAATTCAGGAGTCCTGAAGAACCCCTGTTTGGTCCCAGAGTGCATGAATAGCCAGCCCTGCTATATTGTCTCGTTGCGGACCATTTCTTTGAATTTTCTCGTGTTTCTTTTCCATGTCAGGCAACGAGGAACTCGACCAACGCAAGCGGTTCTCTGCATTCGGGTTTCCGTCTTGTTTTTTTCTTCAATAAAGTGCGTCTCTGGTCGACCAGGAGCCCTCGCCGACATAGGCTCCCCTGTAAGTCCCTCTGTGCCTTGATACAGGGAGACACATTGTTGCAGGGGCCCCGGTGAACGCAGGAGGCCTTCAGTAACTAATACGATCACTGGTCTTGTCCCTGCTTCGTAAATAGGACCCCAGGGTCCAAGCCGACTCAGAACAGCTGCTCAGCATTGGTGGTCTCCGACCTATATAGACGCCCTTGTCGTTCGGGGACGCCGCAGACGCGACAAGTCCCTTTGGCTGACCTTTGAGGGTCAGGCATCTGCCCCGGCGTCGTCCCCCGGCCAGCCCTTCGGACCCTCCAATCGGGCCCTTACTAGGTTGTGCTGATGGTCCTGAAAGTCACCCGGGCCAACAGGAGGCCATGTCCAATGTGTCCCCACCAGCTGGCTACGGCCCTGGATGTGTAGGATGAACGAAATTTAATGGTAGTCAGCGACTCGCTCCCACAACGCAACCACCTACTTGGTGAAGTGGAAGCTATTCTTTCTCGGTATTTCCTTCGTATATTTGCTAAATTAAGCAGACATAGTATAGTCAGCTTCGTTGAACCGGTGATAGCAACGTTGACGGCAATAATCCAATCGGTGGTAGTGTTCATTTTGGCTGTGATTCATCCAGTCTGGTACAAGCGGCCAGTTTGGTTAATTTCAAGTTATTTTTGGTGACCGATTAAAGGGGAGCCGCACCAAATCCAGCCGGTGAAGGGAGAATCCAGACGCTTGGGCGTTGTGTGCACAGAACACTGGCGCATAACCACTGATTAGACGCCTCGGGGCCGCATCCAGCCGTCCCCAGCGGCCGAACAGCTGACTGGTCAGCCGATCTGCCACCACAGTCAGCTGACTAGTCTGACAGGGTCCAACAGCTGACTGCGCCCGGCTGCCAGACAACAGTCGAGCGGGCCAGAGTCCAGCCACGAGCACCGCCCCTCACGCAGCTGGCGTAACGTTGCAGCTGGCAGCTGGCGCCAGCTTTTCCCCGAAAGACATTATCACAGGACTCTCCTTGACGCCCAGCCTGCTGTACAAACACTTGTATCGGTTTGCCCCCGCTGGGCTGACTCATGGCGTGGTTTGTTTATAGTGCGGGATGCTAACGCCGAACGACACAAAACCCGCTTGCAGACGGCCAGGCAGCCCTACCCTTGACAGTTGGTGTCCAGCAGTTTTACCACGTACTTCACCATGTCCGGCTGCCAGTCGCGTTACCGTACAGCGACGACCACCGTGGAACCCACGTGCTGCAACAGTCGTCAGCGTCTTCCCGCGCTTTCGATTTTCCCACCGCTCAGCCGAGCCGCCCCGCTGCATGACACCCAGCGCAAGCCGCAGCTCGTGCCAAATACCACGGCGCTCGTCTGCTCAGAAATAGCCGGTTGCCGGAGCCCCGGCGTCGATCACGCTGCAGCTCTCGTCATTAAAACAACGTCCACGTTGGTGTGATGTATACAACTCGCTTCAATTTTCCGCTTTTAATACCAAAAATACCTCCATAAAACATCGAGAAGAGACTTAAAACAGCAATAAAACGGGACAACCGCAACAGCCCAAGCACACCAATACCACATACACTGGCAGACAGGGTGGCGCGCGCTCGCGCCGGGTTGGCGCCGCCCCTTTGGCGGAGAGTGACACTGCGCAGCGCCCGCGCCCCGCCATGCCGCCGGCTGGCGCATAAACTCTGTCCAACGCGTAACACGGCTGTTGCGCCCGCCGGCCGGCGCGTGTTAAAAGCGACCGCGGCGGCCGCTGGTTAAAATGGAAGCGTGCTTCAGCTACCACTCCTTCTTGTGCTCGTCCATGGAGACGCCGCCGGGCCCAATGGAGACCAGCATGAGCAGACCACCCACCACCGACAGAGTCTGCCGGCGGAGAGAGCGCGTGAGGGCGCAGCAGGGGCATGCAAGGCCGACCCCACCGGTCGCGGCAGGTGTTACACTTGTAGGGGAGGATGGTGTAGCGACGGGAGAACAGCGCCCGGTGCACGCCAAACACCTGGGAAATGAGCTCCGGTCGAGGCCGACAGAGCAGTGAGAGGGGCTGAACTTTGGTCACAAGAGATAAACGGAGGCTTTGCTCAGGTTATTTAGCTACAACAGATACAGAACACAGCTGATAAGGCAGAGGACGAACACAAGTAACCTGGCAAAACGCGCGGCTACAAAAATGAAATAAACGGGAATGGAATGAAACTACCATGTGACATCACGTTTTTACATGCGGCACTAAACCGTGATACAATCAAACGCGAGAGTACCCAGACGCCAGGGCCGGAGTACACATCACCATACCCCCCCCCCCCCCCCCCCCCCCCCCCCCACCCCCCCCCCCCCCCCCCCGCCGGCCATACTCCCATCCCAGAGCCCAGCACGGCCGACCCAGCCGGGCCGTGACGTCACGTCAGCAGCGAAAGTGGCCGTTGCCGCCGAGGTCAGCCGGGTCGAACTGGGTCCTCTCGCCGCCGCCCCCCCCCCCCCCCCGCCCGCCCTCTGCCCGGGCCGTGACTCGGCCAATCCGGCGGCAGGACGGCGTGGCCGGGGCCGCATCAGCCCACATCTCATGGACCTACGGAGACACGCCCAGAGGCCACAGACGGGCTCTACTGAAGAGTTTCCCAACACGGTGCGCTTCATAAATAATTAACGCAAGGACGCGTTCGGACGAGGACGATTTTCAGGTTCAGACGATCCCCTCCCTCTGAGATTTTTACGTGCGCTCGGCCACCTAGCGCATAAATATCTTCACCTGCGCCATAAATGAGCCGATCACGAAACGGACCGGTTTACGGCAACACCCATTCAAACTCGCTCCCAAGCAAATGGAATTCACATCGCGGAGAGCATAATGCTACGACCCAGCCGTCGCCAGCCCTTACAGCTCAGAAGAACGTCGATATTTTTCCTCGGTAAGAAATCGTTCCCGGAAACTTCGCGACAATTCCACGGGAATGTTTCCCAGGACGCCCTGCCGTTGCCTAACGGCCTTCCTCCCGCAGTTTATAAAAGTCGGGCCGTGCAGCGTCTCCAGTCAATGGCGGAAACCCTACCCGTCCGAACGCACGACGACCGTCACCGTAAATTATCCGACCAGCTACAATTGACAAACACGCGCTGGGACGAGCGTCACACACGGACGCGTCAAAACATTAACATACTGGGCCATCCCATCCCGCAACGTCACAAGGCACCGCACGGCACCGCAGCACGGCGACCACGGCAATAAGCAGACCCCCTGGGCCTTACCTGGAAGAAGTCGTACTTGAGGAAGTCCCGCATCGGCTTGTAGGAGGGCACGGACCACCATGCGTTGACGTAAAAGTTAAGTGCCATGAGCCAGGCAACTAGCAGCAGAGCAGAGAGCTTTGTCTTGTAGCCGATCGTCACCAATACCATGAGTACGGAGCCGATGATAATCTGAAGACACGACCTTGACGTTACATGGCCATCGATGGATCAGCTTGGAGAGCCGACCGCGGGTCATTTTACGACAGTATTGGGCCAATATAAGGCCACATTGGACACACCTGGGGGCCATTCTGCGCCGCACGGGGTCCATATGAAGAGAAGGGGCGTACTGTGACGAGCTCGCAGCCTTCGACGACCGATCACCCCGCCCGAACCACACCCGTTGAGACGTTGCAGGCAGAGACGACGCTTTGCTTCAGGCGTCACACGGAGACCTCCGCATTTGGTCAGCTAAATGGCCGCACAAAGTATGCAATAACAAGTCTCCCACGTCGTCAACAACCCACACAAAGAGCGGGGCCGCTCCAGGGACCTGACACTGACTAGGAAGGACTATTACGAACCATGAACTCGGACACAGCGACAGGGCATTTACAGTTGGCCTCTTCCGACTCCCGTAACCGCTCGCCGCCGACAAAAGAGAGGGTCGCCCCGTCCGGAACGCACCTGCACAATCTGCATCGGCGACACCTCGAAGCGCAGCAGGGTCAGGAACATGAACACCAGCAGAATGCGCCCGGCCAGCATCAGGTACGTCTTCTGCTTGTTCTCTCCTGCACGTAAAAACGCCGCCGGTAAGAGCTATATCTCACAACAGGCAACCCGAGGCGACTGATACGAGCATGGCCATCACGAGCGACGAAGTCCATTGTAATGACAACATGGTTCCGGGTAACCTCTCAGTCAAATGCTCATCCAATAAAGCGTCCCGCGACATTTTGCGACAGCCAACGAGGTTCAGCTTTCCGCACCGCGCAGCAGCGGCCAGTTACAAAATACCGGCGTGAATAATAGCTAACAACCGCTACCGCAAACGGTCGTCATGAACTTAACGATGGCAAACTTAAGGTGTGATAAATATCCAACGCGGTCTGGCATGACGAGAACGCAACATGACCAGGGTCCAGCAATGAGACCGGTTACGCCATCGGTAATGGCAGCCGGTCACCACGTCCTCAATTTCCTCAGCACGAGTCGGCATCCAGCTGGGGGGAAACTGTGCCCGGTTTTCCCGAACCAGTTTACCGTAATCCGGGCGCAGGACTCGCCGACCTCCGCCACAAGCCCCATCCCCACGACGCCCAGCGTCGCCCCCCCGGCCCGGCGGCCCGCCCCGCGTGGTCCGGGGCGGCCGACCGGCTGGGCGTGCCCCCGGACCGCTGGAGGTCAAGGTCACCTCACGGTCCGCACGGCGGACTCGGGGCGCAGCGGTCACGGTCGACCCCCGACCAGGCTCCACGTCAAACGGGATGTGTAGAAAAGCAACACCACATTTGGCAGGCGGAGCACGGGCTGGGGGGACCACACGCATGACAGGATGACCAGGTTACCGGCGCACCAGGATTGCGGGAGGTGACCTAGCGCGCGAGATGGCAGGCAGTGCGTAAGTTGGCGAGAACACGGTGCGGTTCTCAAACTGCGACAGATTCGCCGCGCAGTCATCCCACAGCATTTATGCGATCCGTTGCTTGATTTAAGATACATTTGAAGCCCTCCATCCCCACACGGAGGAATGCAGGGCGCGGAAATCCTGCCGAGCTACGCAAATTTATGCACTTGACTAGCGCAGTTCTCAAACAACGATGGGTGTGGCTGTTCCAGTGTTTTAATTCCATGTTATTTGAAATCCCCACATGACTTGGCGATTTTACGACCGCTTACACAAGTTGCGCTAAGCGCATTTTGACGCTGCCGGGCACAGTCGAAACAATCCCCAGATTAGTGCACCTGGGTCACTTCGATGCGAGTCATACCCGGGATAGACCGGCCCCTACCGCCCGCCAAATAACTGGCCAAGTCATGCGATTCACCACACAGACAACCAGCCCTATTATTAACCACACTGACACAAGCCCTCACTTTGCTTTTAATACCGCGACCTCCACTCGGGCACAAACGACAGACGGTCCCCGGTTGAACGCTACAGCGACCATATCCCTGGCTTCAGGCACTAACCGGCTCATGTTGGTACCAGCAGCTGCCGTGCTGGTCGGCCCAAGGCCCCTTAAGTCACCTATGCGGCGCAGGACACAGACAGACAGACAGCTGCCGCGCTAGCCGGCCAAGGCTTAAGTCACCTATGGATTGAACTAGCAATGCCGCGGGATAAAAATCTTACCGAAGCGGGAGCCGTTCGATCGTTTGTCCTAAACCCTCCTTCAAACACCCTGAAGTGAATATACCCGTAAAGATCGTGACGGAGCTTCTTGCGATCTCACGTTGCAACACCCGCCCTTCCAATCCAACCCCCCCCCCCCCCCCCCCCTCCACCCCACACACCACACTCGGCCCACACTGATCTCAACGGTCCCCAACAGTAAGCCTTCATCCCTCCTATTCCATACACTCGACTGCGGCGGCCCCCGGCTGCGGCGTCCCTCCATTCCACACCTTGGCGCCGCTCGCGGGCGTGGCCGTCCACTCACCGAGGCTGGGCACACCGGCGAACAGGCTCTTGCCCTCGACGCGGGTCTCGGCCAGCACCAGCAGCAGAGCGCCGATCAGCGCCAGGTTGCGGAACAGGAACTGCGCGTCCCACAGGATCTGGTACGCCACCGTCTGCACGATCACGATGCCGAACAGGATGCCGACGGCGATGTCGACCTTGAGGCGCAGCAGCACCATGGCCACGCCGCCCAGCTGGCCCACCAGGTTGACGAAGACGAAGAGGGCGGCCAGGAACCAGCCGCAGCCCCACGAGATGTCCATGTACTCCCGCTGCGGCGGGACGCGAAAGGTCAGGCGGGTCAGAGAGGTGAGCGCGCAGGGTCGGGGGGAGGGGGGGGGGGGCGAGCGGGGTCAGACAGGTCGGGTGGTCAAGCGGTAGGAGCGCAGAGGGCCACAGGTAAAACTGATCAGAGTGCTAAGCAGCTGGACTGACGGGCCGAACCGGTCCGGGCTTCAGCGCCATGACGGTGCACTAACGCTAGCCGCGTCATATGAGGGGAGGGAGGGGGGGGGGGGGGGGTGGCGATATAGGCCCGCGACACAGTAGTCCATTGACTACATCCACCACATCAGGACGGCCAACACGCCGACGGAGGCGACTCTGGGTGCCGTCCAGAGAGGTCACAGGCCAGCGCCCGAGGTCCCAGGCCAGCGTCAGACACCAGCGCGTCCGATAAGCGGACCATCGTATCGCAGACTCTTGCAACCCTCCAACACGCTTCCGACCCATCTTTGCCGGGAGGGGGAGGGCACACGTCTGACAGTGCGAACACCTGACCCACCATTGTGGGCACTCTGCGGCGATCCCGCCCACTAGCCGCCTTCACTGACCGAACGCGGCCACAGCATGGGCCGGTCAAAAGCAGCACGCAGAAAAGCCGACAGACGCGTCAGAGGTAACGGAACAGTCGGTGAGAACGGACGCACACAAAACAGCGGTGGCGGAGGGTGGGTCCGAGCCACTGGCGACGTCTGCCGCGTTTAGTCGAAATATGACGATGCTTTCTAACTATCCTCTCACTCGCCAAGTTTGATCGCAGTTCTTTAAAAAAAAAAATAGGCCGCCGCTGTCCCCATGGGAACAACTCTATGAATCTCCATGCCATTAATTCCACGCCTGAACCAATCCCCAACAGAAAAGACTAACCGGGGGACCATGTGCCGGCAGCGAGCTAGTCTCTCCAGTGACGCACCAGGCGGACGGGGAGGCCTGCTCACCTGCTCGTTCCACTGGAACCACATCCGCAGGCCATCCTCGAAAAATGTGCTGATCAGACAGAAGCGTGCCACGTGAGGTAAAATATGTTTCGTTTTGCGTAAAACCTGGAAAGGAGAGATCCGTGTTGACATCAAATGAGCGTGATTAGGAGATCAACTTTGGGGATACTCAGGGATCAACTTTGGGGATATTAGGGGATCAACTTTGATGGACATTAGGGGATCAGCTTTGATGGATATGGGAGACTGCTGACATGATGATTGTGACAAGACAGAAATACTGGGCAAATATACCCTATCAGAATGTAGGGTACACCCTAAGTAGAATGTAAGGTACAAAACACAAGCATGACAACAATGAACATGTTGCATCCTCCAAAAATTTGCAAAATAATAAATCTGAAACTGCATGACACACAACTAGCCCCAGGTGGTCTAACACTGAAAACTGAGCACTGCATGCAAAAATTGAGCATGTTCAACATCTTTGTTGCAATTATGGGCACAGGGGTATGAATAGTGCATTATACAACACTGACATAGCTTCAAACAGGTAGGTATGGAGTGTGCTTTGGCACACACCACACCTTGGCACAAGCAGTTTGGTACAGAGTCAAAATGGACAGCATGAAGCAGAGTTCATATGATGAAACAAGATTACCACCTACAATCTTTTCAGGTGTTTTCCCTTTCACAGCTGGAGTCTTCACAGCTGCACAGTTTTTCAATATTGACTACTCAGGTGGCAGACATTTCAGTACTTCTTTGTACTTAAGTACTTATACAGTACTCTTTTGTACTTTGACATTTAAGCTTGAGGCCTGTTGGCCATTGCCTCTGTCTTGCTCAAAATCCAGCCAATTGGCATCAAACTGGGCAACAGTCAACAAACATCAGGCATCACAAATGGACTGGGCAGGTCCGATGCCTGGGCTCCAGGTCAAAGAGATCAGCACAAACACATTGAGTGTGAAGGCTGCTGGCCCCAGGATTGTGGCAGCACAAATTTGTATTACATCTTGGCACCAAGACCTACTGAATTAATTTTGGAAAACCATGACAGACAGGTGGCAACTATTGGAGATTATATCAACTAAACCTGAAAGATGCCTTGAATGGTTTACAAGGGGAAATGAGAATGAAACTTTTAACTATAATGTCTTTCTTGCCCAAGAGAAGCTAGCAAAGCCAACGAGCTGTGGGATATACAAACAGGTTCCATGGATTTGTTTCAAGGTAAGCCTTCATGAAGATTTAGCAGAGGTCCACTTATGCAGTGCTTGCACAGCAACCACAACAATCCTTTGAAACCTAGCTGGCTGACACAAATCTTGCTCAGCAACTTAATCAGAGATCAGATAGCTTGTAACCATTTCCTTTCATAAATCATATAATATTTTATAACTTTCATCTAAAAGTGGATAATTTAGAATGATCTCTTTTTGCAAATATGACAGCACTGTCAAAAAATTGGTTTAAATGGATATCTGCTCCTGTTTAATCACTTCTTACATGTCCATAATGGTCCATTTTCTGATCAGTTTTAATGTTGCCATGTTACCTTGCTAAAGTCTTGCCCCTTTGATAGCTGCTTTTTAAATCTTTTTTAATTTGAACCTTTTAGTTTGCTCTCCTTCACAGAGGTGCAAAGAAACATAATTTGACTGAACAGCTTGCTTGCAAATTTGCTAGATTTAAGCAGCAATTCTTTTGCAGAAACGCAAGCAATGTTGTTGAAAACTGCATTAACCTGCCGCCACTGAATGAGCAGATACCAACTTCTAAAAAATATAATAAGCTGTACCTGCATTCCATACATATACATTATGCATAACCACAACATATGCCTGAGCCACATAGGGCAGATACCAGCATTTTTTATCATCCACCTACTGACAAAATGTGAAGAGTAAAGAACTGGAAATCTGGCACAATTTACTTGATAACCCAGTGGAAATTAGGTGTTTATGCCTCATACTTTATTATGGACATGCATTTGGCCACCAGGTCATACCTAATATGCCTCATCAAATCTGTGCAACTTAAGATGGTAGATCATTCAACTGCCAGCTATTACTTCAAGGTACATTTTGCATGTTAATTTACCCATTACTCCAGGACAAAAAATTACAGGTTTCAGTCCTATCTGCAGCAAATCGAGTGGCCAAATGCCAAAAGTACAGATATATCCAATTCATACAGATGGTTTTCAACACACACACTTCCCCTAGCAGACTGAACATGTAAGCCACCTCATGCTGCAGCACCAAACAATCAAACCAATGGCATGGTGTCGATAAATCCCTAATGATAAATAACGCAACAACCGACTTAAGTGCACGCATGCCTAAGAGGCAAAACATACGCGCATATGTACATCAAAATTAATGTTCATAAGCATATATTTAAGGAATTACCGTCACGAACCGGTCGAAATCCATAAGAATATGGTGAATTTTGCTTACCTCATCTGCGACATCCTCAGCTTTTGATAAAAATTCTTTTTGAGTCGTCATATTGCTGAAAGTCCGGCCGACCAGCGTCACGTCAGCCGCAAAAGGCTGAATTGGGTCGAAACAGGAATTTTGTTATGACATCACTTTCGACATCGTCTGCTGAGGCGGTTGTCTAAAGTTTCTTGACTGCAAAGTATGTTAAATTTTTAATTATCCTCTGATGAAACTGGATTAGAACAGGGCCAACATTTGGGGAAAATTGAATGAATGATCAAGAGTTATTACATTTCCAGCTTCCACGTTTTTATCGATTAATGATGGCACCTTTCTGCAGATGGCTCTTCTTTTGTTATCGATAAGGATTGGCATTGATACGTTCAGTCTCAAAAATCAGTTTGGAGCTAAAGCAGTTAATAAGAAGTAATTAAATTCTGTTGAAAGCTATTTTATTATTAAGAAAGAGGAGGACGAAGGGGGAGTTATCGATAAGAAGGTGTAATCATTTTCGTCACTTCGGGTCCACTTCCTTTTCCGTTATCGCCGGGCGGCGTTGGGTCATCCGGGCAAATCTCCGCGATTCAATATGGTTGGAAAGAAGGTGAGCGAATGCTGGTAGTCGAAAGGACTGACAATAACATGGCGGGAGCGTTAATTGTCGTACTGCGTTGTTGTTTCACCGCCAGGTGTGTGTTGACAGCTAGGACAGCCGTACCATTCGGGCGGACTATGTCGTGTTAGCGTCGATGTTTCCGCGTACGCGAGTCCTTTGGCTAGGGTGCACTTGAGGTGGGGTTGTTCAATAGTGGTAGCACTGCTCGATTTTCTGTATAACATCCACACTGTTAAAAAGAGTAGTGATGGATGCCCTTCATAACCTGATTCCGTCCTGCAGGGGCAGGGTTTGGTTTCACGGTATCATGTGTTGCATATGCAGCAAAACGCCGTGATTGTATTGGGCGCAACATCAGCGCTGATATATCAAGGTATGGAACAGGTTCCAATATATTAAAGTTAATAAAGTAGTGTAGGTACATTGGTTAACTGACTGGTGGGCATCATATAAAAGGTTAGCCTTCTTGGATAGTCTTTTCGGCTTTTTTTTACTTGGGTACCTGTATTGCCGACGGTGGGGAGAGAGCTACGCTGGCTGCAGGGTTTCTGTACTGCCATGATGGAGAAATGCTGTTAGGTATCAGCCGACGTAGTGACGTCACTGAAAATGGGTTTGCATCGATCGGGGTTCTTTTGGGCCGACTGAAGGCTACAAGGCATTTGCTGGCGATATGATGTCACTGGTATTCGACTGGATATGTGACGTCACTGGTGGTGAGGCTTTAGGGCTCTTTTGGGTGCAATGAATGCCGTAAAGCATCACCTGACGATATGTCGTCGCTGGTATTCAATGAAACATCAGGCGCAACGGGCCTTATTCCATCTTTACCTTTCGTACCTGTCTGCTGCAAGCATTTGCGTGCCGAATAAAAGCTTGACCGAATCACCTGAATGTGTGACGTCACCAATCATCACTTGATACGAGTGCACTTAGGCCCCACAGCTGCGGTGTATCATGTTCCGTGAATATCACTGGGTATCGTGACGTCAGTGATATTCGACTAATATTGGTCGCAACAGGTCAAGGTTCATTTTTAGCTTCGTACCTGTCTACTGCAAGCACTGGCGTGATGAATAAAAGCTACCAAATCACGTGAGTGTGTGACGTCACTGGTCATGCATTTTTATGGATCTTTGGGGGCCAACCGAGGGCCGTAAAGCATAACCTAATGATGTGACGTCACTGGCATTCGACTGTGTGTGATGTCGCTTGTGATCAGATTTTAACGGCCTCTTTGGGCCGACGAAAGGTCATACGACATTAACTGAAGATGTGCCGTCACTGGTATCCGAATACAATTCAGGCGGCCATGGCCATGCTCCATCTTTACCTTTGGTACCTGTCCATTGCAAGTATTTGAATGCTGAAGGAAGGGTCTGCCGAATTACCTGAGTGTGTAACGTCACTAACCATTAATTTGTATAGACTGTTTTGAACCCACTGTAAGCCATACCACATCAGCTGACCATGTGACGTCACCGGTTTTCGTCTAGGTGTCATGCGCAACAGGCCATGCTCTATCTTTGCCTTTCGTACCTGTTTACTGCAAGCATTCGCGTGCTATATCAAGGTGATGCTGAACCATCTGAGTGCGTGACGTCACTGGTCATGAGTTTATACAGGTTCACTTGGGCAGCCCAATGCAACAAAGCATCATATCCTGTAAAGCATCGCGGGATGATATGACGTCACTGGTATTCGACTCAACATCAGGCGCAACAGGCCATGTTCCATCTTTACCTTTCGTACCTGTCTACTGCAAGCATTCGCGTGTTATACCACATCATTGGTTAAGAGTTCTTACGGGCTCTTTTCAACCCCCTATATGGTATAATGCTTCAGTTGACGATATGATGTCACTGGTGTTCGACTTAACATCAGGCACAACATGTCATGTTCCATCTTTGCGTTTCGCACCTGTTAAAGTATTGGCGAGCCTAATGATGGCTCTGCCGAATCACCTGAGTGCGTCATCATGAGTTTTTACAGGCTATTGTTGGCCGAGTGAAAGCCATTAGGCATCATCTAACGATATGTCGTCACTGGTAATCCACTAAGTGTGTGACGCCATTGGTCATGAGTTTTCCCGCGCCTTTTTGGGCCGACTTAAGGCCATTAGGCATCAGGTAACGATATGACGTCACTGGTATTCAATTAAGCATCAGATACAACATGTCATGTTTCATCTTTACCTTCCGCACCTATCTACTGCAAGTATTCGCGCGCCACGTAAAAGCTCTGCCCAATCACCTGAGCGTGTGGTGTGACTGGTTATGAGTTTACGCGGGTTTACTCGGGCTGACTAAAGGACATCAAGCATCATCTGGCGATGTGACGTCACTGGTATTCAACTTAACACCAGGTGCGACAGGCCATGTTCGTCTTTACCTTTCGTACCTGTCTATTGTAAGCATTGACACGCTTAAGGAAAGCTCTGTGAAATCTCCTGAGTGTGTAACGTCACTGGTCATGAGTTCTTTACGGGCTGCTTTTTTGTACCTATAGGGTACAAGACATCAGTTGACGATATGACATCACTGGTATTTGACTTAATCTCAGGCGCAACAGGCCATGTTCCATCTTTGCCTTTCGCACCTCTATACTGCAAGTATTCGCGCGCTACATAAAGGCTCTGCCGAATCACCTGAGCATGTGGTGTAACTGGTCATGAGTTTACGCGGGCTTACTCGGGCTGACTGAAGGACATCAAGCATCACCTGACCATATGACGTCACTGATATTCGGGCTGTGGCCCAGACTTATGGCCGCTAGGCGGCGCCCTTGATTATTATTTAGCCATCAGGGCATTCCGGACCGTAGCTGCTCAGGGGGCGCATCCTGTGATGCCGGGCGGAATAGCTTTGCATATACGTCGGTTTGTGGGCTGGGATCACCTTTGTTTTGTGTTTACGTTTGTTCAAAATTTTAGTCGTTGAAACAGCCCGTTGCGTTTGAAGTTTTTACTTAATGGTGCGCACAATAAAATTAGTGTGCTTAACTATGGTGCATCTCCCACCTCTGCTGCGGAACTCCGTAGCCGTAGGTGGCCAAGTGACCTCCTACCAACTGATGATCAGTGACGTCACATACTCAGGTGATTCGGCGGAGCCTTCATATAGCACGCGAATATTTGCAGCAGCCAGGTACGAAAGGCAAATATGGAGCATGACCTGTTGCGCCTGATGTTTAGTCGAGCACCAGTAACGTCATGTCGTCAGCTGATGCATTATAACCTAAAATGGGTTCAAAGGAGCCCGTAAAAACTCGTGACCAGTGACGTCACACACTCAGGAGATTCGACGGAGCCTTCATTCAGCACGTCAATACCTTTAATAAACAAGTACAAAAGGTAAAGAAAGTACGTGGCATGTTGGACCTGATGTTAAGTCGAATAACAGTGACGACATATCATCCTGTGATGCTTCACGGGAGGTGTTGCTTTGTGGCCTTGGGCGGCCCAAGTGAATCCGTATGAAGTCATGACCAGCGACGTCACCCACTCAGATGATTCGTCTGGAGTTTAGTCGATTACCAGTGACGTCATATCGTCAGCTGATGCTTGATGTCCGTCAGTCAGCCCGAGTAAACCTGCACAAACTCATGGCCAGTTACACCACACGCTCATGCGAATCGACAGAGCCTTTTTGTAGCGCACGAATACTTGCAGTAGGCAGGTGCGAAAGGTAAAGATGAAACATGGCTTATTGCAACTGATGTTAATTCGAAAACAAGTGACGCCATAACGTTGTCTGATGCCTAATGACCTGAACTCGGCCAAAAAAGGCCCGTAAAAGCTCATGACCAGTGACGTCATACACTCAGTGGATTACCAGTGACGTCATTTCGTTAGCTGATGCCTTATGGCTTTCGCTCATTCAAAAATAGTTGGTAAAAATTCATGACCAGTGACGTCGCACACTCAGGTGACTCGGCAGAGCCATCATTTAACGCACCAATACTTTACAGGTACGAAAGGCAAAGATGGAACATGACCTGTTACGCCTCATGTTAAGTCGAACACCACTGACATCATGTCGTCAACTGATGCATTTTTCCCTATAGAGGGTTCCAAGGAGCCAGAAAAAACTCATGACCAGTAACGTTACACACCCAGGAGACTCGACAGAGCCTTCATTCAGCACGTCAATACTTGTAATAGACGGGTACGAAAGGTAAAGATAGAACATGGCCTGTCGCGCCTGATGTTAAGTCGGACACCAGTGACGTCATATCATCAGCTGATGCATTATACCGTTTGGGGGTACAAAAGGTCCCGTAAAAAGCTCTTGACCAGTGACGTTACTTACTCAGGAGACTCGACAGAGCCCTCATTCAGCACGCCCATACTTCCAAGAGACAGGTACGAAAGGTTAAGATGGAACATGGCCTGTCGCGCCTGGAGTTTAGTCGAATACCAGTGACGTCATATCGTCAGCTGATGCTTGATGTCCTTCATTCAGCCAGAGTAAACCCGCGTTAACTCATAACTAGTTACACCACACGCTCAGGTAATTCGGCAGAGCCCCTGTGTCGCGCGAATACTTGCAGTAGATAGGTGCGAAAGGTACAGACGAAACATGGCTTAGATGGAGCATGGCCTGTTGCGCATGATGTCTAGTCGAAACCCAGTGACATCATATCGTCAGCTGATGCCTTGTGGCCTATAGTAGGCTCAAAAGTGTGCAAATTAATGGTCAGTGACGTACACACTCAGGTAATTTGGCAGAGCCTTCCACGGCAATGCTTGCAATGGACAGGTACCAAAGATAAAGGTGGAACATGGTCTGTCGCGCCCGAAGTTCATTCGAATACCAGTGACGTCACATCTTCAGTCATTGCCGTATGACCTTTCGTCGGCCCAAAAGAGGCCGTAAAACCTCATGACCAGCGACACGCACAGTCGAGTGCCAGCGACGCCACATCGTTAGCTGATGCTTTATGGTCTTTAGTTGGCCGCACAAAAAAATCCGCCAATACTTGCAGCAGACATGTACGAAAGGTATAAATGGAGCATGACCTGTTGCCTGATGTTCAGCCAAATACCAGTGACGTCATTGTCGCCAGCTGATGCCTAACGGCATTTCGTCGGTCCTATAGGGCCCGTGGAAACCCACGGCCATTGACGTCTTACAGTCGTACAGCAGTGACGTCGCTAGCTGACACCTTGTGGTCTTCAGTTGGCCGAAAAGCACCGTTGGAACTCATGGCCAGTGATGTCACACACTCGGGTGGTTCGGCAGCTTTCATCCAGCACGCCAATGCTTGCAGTAGACAAGTACAAAGGTAAAAATGAAGCACGGCCTGTTGCGCCCAGTATTTATTCGAATACCAGTGACGTCACGCTATCCGGTGATACTTCGCGGACCACGACACACCGTGGTCGTGGGGCCTAAGTGCACTCGTATGAAGTGATGATTAGGGATGTCACACATTGGGGTAATTCGGTCAAACCTTTATGCGGCACGCAAATGCTTGCAGCAGACAGGTACGAAAAGTAAAGATGGAACGAGGCCGGCCGCGCCTGATGTTCAATCGAATACCAGTGACGACACATGGCCAGCTGATGCATTACGGCATTCAGTGGACCCAAAAGAGCCTTACATACTCACGACCAGTGACGTCACATACCCAGCCGAATACCAGTGACATCATATCACAAGCAAAAGCCTTATGGCCTTCAGTCGGCCCGAAAGAACCCCGATCCCGATCGATGCAAAACCATTTTCAGTGACGTCACAATGTTAGCTGATGCCTCACAGCTTTTGCCCCGCACGACAATACTCGAAACCCTGCAGCTACCGTAGCTCTTCCCTCCGTCGGCCATACAGGTACCCAAGTAAAAAATTACCGTCTTTTCAAAGGTAGTAGGTGTAATTGAGCATAAAAAGGCTTGTGTGCATCATTGCCTTCAAAGTTAAATTGTTTGCAGCAAATATGTGAGTACTCCAGAGAGCTAGAGATTGTCATTTCACATTGGAGGATTTCAAGAAATTCAGGTATTGTGATGATTATTTCAAGATATTTTGCAGGAAGGTGTTGTGTCTGAGGCTGTCATTAATTAAGGCCAGCACTACCTATCAGAATAGGAAGCTGAATAAGAACTCAGGCCCATATTTAGACCCAATATGCAAATTGGTATCTGAATATAGCATGTGTCATCAAACTGTGAAATAAAAAATGGCATACTAGTGGCAGCACTGGTGGTATGCCAGCATGTAATCAGAAGACTGCTGGTTGATGGTGGGTAAATGAGTTAGATAAGCGGTGAGTCAGCAGAGTATTGTGCAAAGGCTCTGTTGCGGTGGTAAAAGGTTAGGATGGTTGGTTCAGCTTAGGTTATCTGGTCGAGCATAGTCTGTATTTCTTGCTTTGTGATATTAATTATTTATATGCTCAACACAAACAGCAAACTTGCAGTCACTGTGCACCATGTAGAGCTATCCTTCCTCTCAGTGGGTACGAAATAGACTGGGTGTGTTTTTCCAGCAGATCATAGATAATTGGCCAGTGTTTAACAATTTTCTGGAATGGTATTTGGTGCTACTAACATGGCAAATTGCCCCAGGTCAAGACAAAATGCATCATTGCTTTGCATAGCTATTAACCTCAAGCTGCACATGGAGACATCTGGGAGATAATTTTTGGACCAGTCAAAGTCAATGGAGAATGTGGATGATTATCTGAGATAAAAAGTTGTTGGATTATTTATATTTGGTCAACATGGTCTAAATATGCCACCTGCAAGGACTCGTGAGTCAGAGCAGGGATTAGCAACCTTTGTTTCCAGCCCTCCAATCTTACCAGTCTTGCCACACCCCATTAGATCTGCAGGCAGTGATGCAGGGACCTTGGAGGGAGCCATCTAGGGGATGCCTTAGGTGACCACCCCAGGGGACAGCCACTCGGGCATCACATTTGTGTGTCAGTGGCCTGAAACTGAGCCAGTCATGTGACAGGTGTTGAGGGTGTGACATGGACAAGCTGCATCAACAACCATCAGGCATGGGGCCGCGTCTTGGCTTACAGGTGCGAGGTCTCTGGTGTTGTGCCTTTGGCGCACTGATCCACACATGGTGTGCAGGTTCCTGGTGGCACAGTAGCATGTGTGCTCCCCATTTATTGGGCTCTGATCTGGACCTTGTTTGTATCTTTTCAGAAGAAGGGAAGTCTTGCCAAGAAGGGCAAGAAGGTGGCAGCCAATCCTCTGTCCACCAAGAAGGTTGAGGCCAAGAAGGCCGTCAACCCCCTGTTCGAGAAGAGGCCTCGTAACTTCCGCATTGGTGGGTTGATTTATGTTTTAAGGTACCAAACTGATTTCAGTACAGTTTTTGTTCAATCATTCTCTGGGTCTATGATGAGAATTATCACTGCTTTAAGGCAAGTCACTAGTGAGGCAGTGCCATGCTAAATAGCATGCCATTGAAAGCAGGCATTATATGCAATGCAAACCATACATGATGTCATGCATAGTTCACCTGAACCACAAGTGTTGAACACATTCCGTTTCTGACGCTGCTCGTCCGACACCGCGTGCCCGCCGCTTGGTGCCGTGTCTGATGCCGTGCCCTGCTGCCCACCAGGTGGCGACATCCAGCCGCGCCGCGACCTCACCCACTTCGTGCGCTGGCCGCGCTACGTGCGCCTGCAGCGCCAGAAGGCTGTGCTGCAGCAGCGGCTGCGCGTGCCACCGCCCATCAACCAGTTCAAGCAGACACTGGACAAGCAGACAGGTGTGCATTAGGCCGCCCGCGCGCCCGGGCGTGCGATGATATGCACGGAGCGCCGGAGGACCGCCGGCCGGCCGCGACCCGGCCTCCGTGCCCCCAGCCGGGGTTGCGGGGGTCTGACGGGCGCCGTGCGGCCGGCCCGGCACCGTCCTGGCGGCTCGGCTCCACGGGTGGCGCCAGATCTGCCCGCGTGCGACGCGCTGCACTAGGCTCCGATGGGAGCCAATGATGTGTTCGGGGCAATGAGGTGTGCACTAGGCCCAAATGCGGGGTAATGATGTGCTGGTGGTGCACTAAGCCCCAGTGTGGGTCATGATGTGCACTGGTGCACTAAGCTCAAACATGGGCAGTGATGTGCAAATTTGTGCAAAGCAGCCAGGTAAAGTGCTCTTCATTCTCAGTTTTTGCATGGATGTGCTAGTTCATGTTGAGAGGCTAAATGTTAGGTGATGACACTTGCAAAGCTCCAGGAGTCAAATGACTAAGCTATTCCACAAGGATCTCTGACAACACCTGGTGCCATCTACTGGTCGACATGCCTCACTACCTGCTTTAACCGCACCCCCAACCCCATAGCCACCCAGCTGTTCAAGCTGCTGGACAAGTACCGGCCTGAGTCGCGCCAGTCTAAGAAAGAGCGGCTGCGCGAGCGTGCCAAGGCGCGCGCCGAGGGCAAGGAGGACGAGCCGACCAAGCGGCCGGCAGTGGTGCGGCAGGGAGTGTGCACTGTCACGTCACTGGTGAGCAGTCCCGGCCGCTGTGTCGGCGGGTGCGAGGATGGGGTCGGACAACGTCGCCGGGGTTACGGGCCGGGCTCGGGCTGAGGTTGGAGTCCACGCTGGGCATTGCATTTCGAAGTTGGCGGCGTTGTTTGATCCCTCCGTGATGCCCGTGCTTAATCGCTGCGGCGTCGCCGTGCGTTTTGTCTGGCTATGATGGGATGAATTTCTTCACCCGACGACCTCGTGGGGAACAAAATAACGAGCTTTTTAACACTGAGCACACTATGACCAGCTGCTGTGCGCGTGCGCTCCGTCCGCTCCCGGTGCTTACGACGGCGTGCTCGGCCGCCGCCAGGTGGAGCAGAAGAAGGCGCAGCTGGTGGTGATCGCGCACGACGTGGACCCGCTGGAGATCGTGCTCTTCCTGCCGGCGCTGTGCCGCAAGATGGGCGTGCCCTACTGCATTGTCAAGGGCAAGGCCCGGCTCGGCCAGGTGGTGCGCCGCAAGACGTGCGCCGCCCTCTGCCTGGCGCAGGTGAGGCGCAGAGGACGTGGGAGGGGTGGTGTCAGCGGGCCGGCCGATGACCATGATGGGATGAATTTCTTCACCCGACAATACCGTGGGGAACCACACAATCGAGCTTTTTAACACTGAGTACGCGTGTCTGCTGTCGCTCTTTCCTGTCGGCGTATGGGCGAGTTATAACCTCTTGTCTTGGCCACCAGGTGGAGTCGTCCGACCGCAACTCGCTCAGCAAGCTGGTGGAGGCGGTCAAGACCAACTACAACGACCGCTACGACGAGATCCGGCGTCACTGGGGTGGCAGCTTGCTCGGACCCAAGTCTCGCGCCAAGCTGGCTAAGCTGGAGAAGGCCAAGGCGGCTGAGCTTCAGAGCAAGGTTTAGGCGAGAGGCTACCGACCAATACACGGATTATTGTTGGAATGAGCTGTTTGCTTTGGGAGGTGGAGCTGTGATGGACGGAGCGGCGGATCAGATAGGCGTCTGACCGGTCTGGTCCAAGCAGATCCCTGAAGGTGCCGGTCGTTTGAGCGGAGCTCTGGGGTGGGTCTCATGACCACAAGACAGGAAGTGAACAGAAACTAATGTTGCGAAACTGGCTGAACGGGGAAACTAATGTAGTGGGATTGACCAGTAGGAGAAACCGACCGAGCGGGCATGGCTAATGTTGCGAAGGTGGGGAAACTGACAGAGGTATGGGAAGCATCGGTGGCATATTTGGTGCTTAGATTTATTGACGGCCTTGCCTGACGGAACTGGGTGGCGTGGTACGGGCGCCTTAGTACCACACCTGACAGTCATGCTGCGTGAAGTGCACACGGTGTCCGAACGGGAAGCCCGAGTGCAGTGTTTCACCGCGGGGTGCCGGTGCGTGCAAATGCAGGCGCAGCTCAGCGGCTGCGACAAGTCTTGTTTGGCCGTATGCGTGCCCGGGCACCGCAAAGCATCGCGAAATGCAGCATCGATTGCGTGCTGGTGAAACTCATCGGTAGTTTTGCCCTGACAAGCTGCGCGGGAGCCGGGTATCAGTGGCCCCACGCGAGCTGCTGTTGTCGCCCGCGGCCGCTGCGCTCTTGCGGCGCTAGCGTCGCCGTCGGCTTGACTTGGGGGCAGCGCGCCGGTGGTGTCAGACCGTGGAGTGCCGCCGACGGGTTGGGGTGCGGTGGACCGGCGGCCGGTAGTCATGGAAACGTGTTGAGTCGCACGACGCGGGTGGATTAGCGCTCGTGATCGATTGGTGGACGGGGGTTCTCGTGAGCGTTGGACCGGCCGACAGGTAAGTCGGAGGCGTGCTGGCGCGTGCTGAGCTTCTGGCGCAGTGACATTTGGGTGATGCGTGTTCTGGCATGAGGTATCGCACATTATATGTGGTCGTGCCGGCTATTGGTCTTCCCTGCTGTTTGGAGGTGGTTAGCGTGGTAGAGATCACGTTACTACATGATCATCATCGGAGCCTACAGACCCTTATGCCAGCGGCGTGGTGCCGTCCTCACCGTCCATCATGTCATTATATCATGTCCGTGCCTCATCGAAGGACGACGACGTCACTTTGGTTCACAGGCTTCGACCCTGACGATTAACGATGTGCTTGGTGACAGTTCCTCCTTTCTTGATCCCAAACAGCTCTTTTCGTTTTTAAAGGATATTGATTTTGAAGTCATTTTCACACCGTACTAATTAAGTAACAGCATAGTTATGGGCGCAAAATGACCACTGCAGTCGACGCGCCTGAAAACTCCAATGAAGAACAACAACAACATGATCATCATCACCACATTGTACGAGATCGTTAGCGTAGGGGAGATCACGAACCGAAATGATCGGTTCGGGACGTGCCGACCACAGAGATGCGGCCCCGTGAATTGACGGGTTGGCAGGTGCAATCTGAGGGTGGTCAGTTGGCTGACCCTTCGCTCGATGAGTTATCGGAAGCGATCGTGGGCGGCCGGCCGGGCATAACGAGAGTATGATGTGACTGGTGTTGACCCGGCGCCTGGCTTTGGAGAGATCTCGGCTTTGGTTGGACTGGCTCGATTGCGTGGAGTCGTCTGAGCCCTGCCGGTGTCTCCCCTCGTGTTGCATTGTGCCTCTATCATGACGCTCTACACTCAACGCCAGCCTGACGCCCTGTGCTAGTATTAAGTCTCCCGGTATGTGTCCAGGGCTCTACCTGCCAGCTTTGCGCCTTGTCGCCGCTGCGCGGTCTCTAACAAGGCTCAGTGGTGGGCCGACATGCGTCGCATGACTGACTTGCAGCCTCGTAGTACTAGGGCACCAACGAATACCGCTGGCGAATGTATTGGCCGCTTTGTGATGGGATATTTTCATTCTCAACATGTCATTGTTTCCATGAATATGCCATCACTGTCAAGCGTGACTGGCAACTGGGCGTCCCCGCCAATCCCATTATTTCCGCCAGTCCGTGCGCCAGAGGTATCGTTCAATGTCAGTCGGTTTTGCAATGCGCCGACCGCCAACGAAAACATTACGCCGCGTTCTAACGATGAATGCTCAAAGAGGGGAGATTCCCATCGTCATTATCTGGCCGCCTTTATGTGGAGCATGAGGCGCGGCGCCGGTGTCTGCGCCTCCACCTGTTGGGGTCTCAGCGGCAGTGGTGCACGCGCCACCCGTGTGTCCAGACGCACCCGCCGTGGCCATCGTGGAACCGTCAGAAAGAGGAACCATCAAAACGTCCAGGATCGCAGGGTTCAGTGTTCATTCAGAAATATCGCCACGGGCCCGCTCTGCTGTGGAGTATGTTGACGCAGCATACGCGGGGTCGTGGTGTGCGTGTCGCTGTCGTTGGTCAGCTTCTGCGTAATTAAGCCGACAGTAGACAGCAGTGCCATGCAATGTCCTCGTGCGGGCTGTCCAATGGCAAGACACCATCAAACGATCCCTACGGCAGACGCAACCTTGCTCAGCTTGTGAGGCTGATCAGCCGTGCTGGCGGGGGTGTGCGACCCTAGTCCTTTAACCGGCCAGTGTGAGGGCATTGACATTTGGAAAGAGCGCGCTGTCTCTAATGTCGCCAGGATTGATGCGTGTTGGAATCGTTGACCTTTCAGAACAGCTAGTGAAAATGTTGGATATCAGCAGATGCGTAACTAGTTCCCTGTGCATATCCAGCCTCCCTGTTATCTACCCTCACAGTGACGACAAGGAATCTCTAGGGTCTAGTTCAACGCTAGCCCCGGCTGTGCAGTGTGTCGGGATGCATTTTTCTATTACGACATCCCAGTTGTCCCTATGCAAAAGCTGCCGCGGCACAAATGGGCAGGTACACCTTACCTGCTCATAAACTTGTTCTGCGCCAGCGTTTGCGAGCCCTCGCGATGGCTTCGGTGTCCGTCCTGAAACACCCCCGCCGCCGCCGCCGCCACCGCCGCCGCCTCTCCGTCCCCGTCCCCAGCCCTCCGGGCGCTCCCCCCCCCTCCCCCCCCCCTCTGCCGCGCCTGGTCACGGTCTACATCCGCAGTCTGCGCCGCCCGCGAGCGGCACCGCCGCCTGGCCGACACGCCCAGAGAGATTCCGCCGAGCCAGGTGAAACTGCAAGTGCCGTCAACGCTGCCCGACGGGCGGCGAGCGCCGAGAGCGGCTGGCGAACAGCCGCGGCTGCCGGCAGGCCCGTGGGCGTGGGAAGGTCTGGTCCGGTGCTGGTGGCTGCGCAATGAAAGCGCCGCGTGCTGGGAGGTCACGCGCCATTGGGCTTCGTACGGAGATCATGGGCTGGCTGAGATGCTTTCGATGCGACAGTCGCAGCCAATCGGCATGTTTGTGGCTTCGTTTCGATGACGCTTGCGTGATTCGTTCGGTGCTGAAACCCGAACGTGTCTCCGGGCGAAAGCACGTACATTCATTCATTGAAAACATTTTGCGTCAAGCCATAACGGCCTGAAATCAGCCACGGCCACTCTTCTCAAACCGTCAACGCACCTCCAGTCCGCGGCTCCGACAGTGCCCGCACGTTCGGCCGCAGTGGTCGCTCCCGTGCTGAGCCGGCGGCCGGGCGGACCGTCCGGCCACCAGGCGCGGCCGCGGGCGGCGTGACCCGCCGTGACCTGGCGTGACGGCGCGCCGCCGGGCGTGACACTCTCTCCGGGGGCGGCGGGTTGTGACAGCGCGTGACACTCGGCGCTCCTGATGAAACGCTGTCCGGGTAAACGGGCGACGCGCGGCCAAAATGGCACCCGCCGGCCTCGCAGAGCAGTGGGCGGTGCGTGGAACGGTCGCGGCAAACGGCCGTGACAGTGCGGTTTGGATTGCTGTTGGCTCCGGCGATTGCAGAGAAGATCACGTAACTGTTATGCGGGCTGGGAGAAGGCTGGAGATCCTTCCAGGTGCGCAAGCAACTGACGGTGACGACCAGAGCTAGAGGGGTGCCGGTAGTGTAGTGGTTAACGCGTCTGCGTAAACCACTGCACGTCTGGGAAACCAGAGGCACGGGGTTTGATTCCCAGCGGTACTCACCTTTCCTGCCAGGGTGAGAGGCAGGCGGAGCCATATAGCCTCAGCAGCTGAGTGCGTCGTAAAGCCCCAATGACACGACACCAGAGCTAGAGCAACAGGCGGAATATTGAATAGCTATGACGTCCGTCACTGTCCACACTTAAGCCGTGGCAGCGAGTCATTTCATGGTCGTGCAAATATCCGCACTTTGTGCCCGAATCGTTACGAATCATGCGGTACTTAAATGCAACAGCGTCCTTCCTTCACGTGAACCTGGACATATGGCCTCGTTCGGTTCCTTGATGTTGATTATAGGTTCTCTTGCGAGAGTAACCAATGGTAGCCCTCCCCCGCCCCACATCAGGTCTTCCATTTATGGTCATAGTTCTTACCGTCCGCAGGTTAATATTTCTGATAACGAGAAGCGCTTACTCTCAAGGTTATATTGGCTGGAACTGGTGGTTGGAAAGAATCTCCTGCTGTTTAGATGGCCCACGTATCTCGCCGCATACGTGCATATACCAGCGTTGAGTCCGATTCAGTGAAGTCCAGTCCGGGCAACAAAACACAAGAAAAGAGGACGGGGTTTAATTCAGTTGTTTACACCCCGCCAATGGTGAACTACAGGTCATATGAATTTTCCAAGACACATGTGCACTCACATATACAAAGGGACATATCATGTGCATTAAACAATTTGACACGCCCCACGGGAAGGAGGCGTCATTCGCACTGGAGGGTCAGCAATGATTTTAAGCGCGACGCCTCAGCAGCCAGACACACCGATCGGCGTCGGGGCCCACGCTGCTCAGAGCGCGGGCTCTCCGCCGTTGAGAGCGCGAGCCCTCCGCCGTTGAGAACTAGGATCCTCCGATGTTCAGGGCGCAGGTCCTTCGCCGCTCAGAACTCAGGTCCTCCGCCGTTCAGAGTTATGACCCCCCGGCGTTCAGAGCGAGCACCCTCTGCCGTTA